TCATTTACCAGTCGAAGTTTCAAGTTCATTTGGGTCAATTCAAAAGAATACAAGAAATATATATTCTCATCCCCTGACAGTAGCCACGCCCACCTTCTATATTTAAGACTTCAGGTTACAACCCACATATACTTATTTTATGTAACTGTCTAAAGCCAATAGAAAGAGCTAATTTTAAACTACAATCTCTAAATGGTTATTTTAAAACTGGTGTGCAGGATTGCTCAAGTGCATTAAATCACTATTAGCACTGTTACAGTTTTGCCCTTGCTAGCACTTACTGTTGTTTCCTACATAACAATTACATACAGCTAAATTGTATTTCGGTTTTAGTTATTTATGTATTACTTGTTTAAAAATTCATATTTGAAAGGTTTAATAATTCTTTTAATATAAAACAAACTTCACTTCAGTTCACAAGAGTTAACTTATTACCAAAGTGCAAAAACATTTTGCTAAAGGCTTGTGTATCTCTGCCAAAGATACTGTAATATGGCCCACGGGCACCCCTCGATATGTGTCAAGATCAATAATAGTAACATAAAAATTTTGCCAACATTAAATATGATGTACAGATGGCAATGCAAAAACTAGAGAAACAAGATAGGGATGAATACACAAAAACCCCTACATAAGTAGCCAGTAAGTACTGAGTCAATCTTACAAGCTCATGGTTATTAGCCACTGTAAGACTGTATAGCATTATTCAGGTTAAATGCTTTTATTCAAACCTAGATTCCTGCATCTGACAGCAACTCAACATTTAGTTGTAGTTAATAGTTTTTCTTGAAAAGATTTGGCTACTTATTACTTCTTTTTGTATGTTTTTTTTGTATTCATCCGTACCTTGTTTCTGTACTTTTTTACATTGCCATCTCTACATCATATCTAATTTTTGCAAGTATTTTTTTTTACTTGTTTCCCCTCTTATTTTTGTAAACAATTTCATTGAAGTAGGTTGATAAGTGAACATTTATTATATTTTCATAATTCAATGGTAATATATATATATATTGTTAATATCATATCAGTTTTGTCAGTTTCTTCATTGCACTTGGAGAATGACCTCAGATATTGATACTATACCATACAATTGGATATAATAGATTATTAATTATCACTGGTTATAATCTTGACTGCTTGGGACTTAATGTTGAGGAACCTGCAGTAAGGAAAGAATGTATGAAAAATATATATAGCTGTATCATCCCTACATTTGTGTTTGCATTTTTTTGTCACTGTCATCCCTACATCATTCTACATTTACAACAATTTCAACTTCTTTTGTGATGTTTTTTCCCCTGACTGAAAGTTAGTGTATTCTATGAAAACACCAATTGTATAGTGTACACAGCATTGAGTATTATTCATGTTACAGTCATCTAAGGTTCATCTATTATTGGCTGGTAATTCCTGTTTCACCCTGTAATTAAGCTTTTTAAAGGAACCCAGATTTCCATACAAAAACTAACTTCAAGGGATAATGATAATATCGTTTACACTGGAATTATGTTGTTGTATTTCTTTTAGCTTATACTATGAACTACTGTGCTTAGTGATAGCCTGTTCCCAAGTACTCTTAAAATGCTTTTCTGTCATACTAAAGCCATTGTGAAAATTTCACATTTTTTGGCTAACGTGGGAAAAGGAAAGATGAACACTTCAGCTCTTTAGCTAGTTCCCAGTTCTCCACTTTTCAATGATATTGAGTCTCACAAGCTGTGAAACACTCGATAATGGCAATTAGGTGCTCAAATAAGGCTATAACTCAACTTTAGTAGCTATTTGTAAACATCATAGAGTAATAGATTGAATGCAACAGCCATTTTTTTTTCTCGGCCCATCCCTACATACCAAGCACTACTGTGCTTAGTAATAAACTGTAAAAGACAGAAAATAAAAAATAAAACATTAAATATAAACTATAAGTAGAAAGGTAAAAACTTGATACTATGAATATAACCAAAAGAAGATATTTAAAGATTATTCGAAGAAGAATTAAAAAGTACGACATATTTCTATTCCTTAATTTTGAACATTTCACTGCATGATAATAACTACAGTTAGTGATATGATAGAGAAAACAAAAAATAAAATATAAACATTTACCTTAAAAACTTTTGATATTCATTTAGGAGGTTCTAGAGGTTATACAAATAACATTTGAAAACTGTAAGATAAAAAAAAAAGAATTTTTATACTTAACATGATAATCATCTTGCACTTGAACTATTCAAAGTCTGAATGCAAATAAGTACATTAAATAACAAATTTTTTGTAGAAAAAAAATCAAAATTAAATATTTTTCTGAAACTCAATGCCTTTAGGAAAGTCTGTCAAATTTCAAATAATTTCATCCACTAGTTAAATTTTTGGAATGAAATATGATGAGAGCTACATTATGTCCTCACAATGTAAGGATCCAGTAGTTAAAGAGTTAAGCCTTTACTTGTTTTATATTATAAATGTTTTATTTCAACATAGGTTTGGTCTGGCTGTTTGCAATGCAGTCTTTTCTTTTTGATGTAGCTATCAACTGCTTAGATATTTATATTGATATATAAATTTATATATCAATTTATGTTGATATATATATATATATATATATATATATATATTACAAACACACACAGCTATATGTATATATATATATATAGATATGAGCTTTGAAGAAAATGCTGTATGTACAACTTCGATATTTTTAAAACATACAACAATTGCAAATTATTAGCTGAAAACTTAAAAATCTATATTTAATGTTTACCTTCAATTTTATAAAATATTTTATTTTTGGACAAAATACTTTACATCCACAGGCCTCTTTAGTTAAAATGTTTCTTATCCATTAATATAATGCCATTGACATCTCAATTTTGTTGGGAATGGCATATACTACATTTCACATTTAAGTTCTTCACATATATTTTTCCATACATTTTATGTGTTTTTAACATTCAGTAATTAGCATTTTACGGGACAGTATGAAGAATATCCCAAGCACTAAATCATAGAGATCATGGTTTACATTAACCATGCCGCATACTAAAATGGTCTGTATTAGACAGACAGAGAGATAACAGTTTAAAATTTTTGCAATTTTTATTATCTTATGTATTCTTCCTAAAGCTGGTAGCCAAACTTTATTGAACTCCTAATGTAGACAAAAGCAATATAATATTATTGTCACATTAATTTAAATAAATTTGTTACTGTGTATACAAGTGAGTGTTTGTGAATTAGAGAGATATGTATACTTTTGTATATAGTTTTGGTTTGAGGTTTAGAGGTACCCATTTTTAAGTGTTTATGCATATGTTTTAGAATTCCACACTTCAGCATCTTCAAGAACTTGTATACCTCTCATGAAATCTACCCAGTTTTTTTCAGCAATAGAATGATGTGAAAAGATAAAAAAAAACTTGTCCAACAGGCAAAGTCTAACAGTAAAACTAGTCCTCTCTCAAATAAATATTGTTGTCCATGCCTCTGATTTCTTTGTGCTATGTTCTGAAGATATTAGAACATGAGGAGACAGTTGTGGAAAATACAGGTTAGACTTCAGTCAAGACTGTTTTATTTTTCTAACAGGGTGATTGAATAATGAAATGAGTTGCCAGTGGCAGTAGTGGAGCCAGCACTTTATAGGAGTTTAAGAAGGAAATTGATGATTTTCTGGAAAGTAAAGGATAGGTTTAGAGTTATAGTTTACAAAAATAAATAACTTTAAATTCAATATAGAAATGTTCCTAAAGAGAGGAAAAAGATAACAGAGAAGATCAAACTAGCTTAACAAAGATACACAAAAAAATCAGGGATAAATTCATAAGATTAAAAAGTTTAAATTCACAGTTAAACTAGAAGATTTAGTTTAAAAAGAAATGGGAAATACAAAAAGGCTTATGACAAATAATATTAAAACCAACAGCAAGGCTTTTTTAAATATGTTATAGGTAAGCCAAATGTTAAAATGGGGCTTTTAAGAGATGCTGATGGCAAAGTTTTTATCAAAGACTACGAGATGGCCAAGCTATTAAATGTTCTCTTTTTATGAAAGATATTAACAATATTCCAGACCCTGAGCATTCTACGGGAAATATAAAATTTACCATAATTATTTTAAATATTAATCCCTTGGAGATAAGTTGAAAGATATGAAGAGTAAAATTAAAATATCCGTCCCATACAAGTTTTTACCCAAAATTTTTAATGAGCCCAAAGGTCAGATATGTGAGCCTCCCCCTCTCATTTTTGGTAAATCAGTAAAAAGTGGGCAGGTGACTGAGAAGCATGTCTCCAATACTTCAAATGATTTTATTTTAGTAGGAAGTACCAAAGCTTCCAGTTGTTTTTAAAAAATAACTAACATCTGAGTGTTACTTCTTAAAAACGGAACAATGAAAGCATGCTATTTCTCATAGGATAAGACAATATGACAAAAGTAGCCAGTCTATAACATTAACAGTTTAACTTTAAGGGTACTACAAATTATGCTTTTACTAATTAGTTAAGGTAGTAATTCAGTTATATATAATAGATAATTTACATACTAAATACGTCCTCATTTTCGAACCAAAAAATTTTCATTATAAAACTGCTATATTCATATAATTATAAAATAGTAGCATTTTACTGTCACAAGGCTCACAGTCATTGTCACCGAGTGCTACATGTTACACCCCATTATATTTATACTATAGTTATTCTAACTGTTAATTTAATTTGTATTTAAAGATACGAAAGAAATATATTTAGCTTGATATATAATAATACTTAAAACTAAAACCCAGTAAAAGCTAATTTAGCTATCGTTAATTAGGACTACTGAATATTTTATAAATGTACTGTTAAATTCGTTCGGCCATGCGGATGAGAATGACAATGCTACGGTACCTAGACCACCTTCACCGAGTCTCCAGTCCTATTTGAAGACGAGCCGTAAGTTAGGAATGGCATAATGTAACAAGTAAGACTAGCACATTTCGCCGAGAAGGTTTACTTACTTGTTGTCTAGTGCTGTATAATGCATTCCTAATAAATAAAAAGCCAGTATTTCAGAAGCAAAACAAACACCAATGCAAATAAATAAGTTTCAAGTTACTTCCCTAAACAGACAATCAATTATTATGAAATAAACGAGCATTACAACCATCTTTTACATCTCGCTAAAGTTTAGTTACGGTAAACTTCGGGAGTCGGGACTTGATCGATGCTACCATCCTAGTTTTTCTTTTGTATACAACCGCGTTAAGAAACAACAATATAGTTTCAATATTTCGGCAACTCAATTGTCTGTAAAGAGAATTAAATATACATATGTGTTTTGAAAATAAACAAATATTATTTTTGTGATCTTCCGTCTTTACTTTATAGAGCTGTTTCTAAAGGAAACTTTTGAGTAGTTTAGCTAGCGGATATATACATTTTTATAGTTCACTTCCAAACCAAAGTTGTTATAAGTTGAACCACATATTTCGTTAGGTAAATAGTAGTTAAAACATTAATCATATTCTTCTAGAGCTTCAGTTTTTTTTAGTAAAAGATTATATTTTTAACAATAGTTGTTCGTATTGTTTCTTTAACTTTCTAAAATAAAGATAACGTCTATAAAAGAAACTAGCGAAATCTATTCACGAGATACAAGCTACGATTTTGGTCACAAATTTTTTGTTTGTTTGTAATTAAGCACAAAGCTACACAATGGGCTATCTGTGCTCTGACCACCACGGGTATTTAAACCCGGATTCTAGTGTTGTAAGTCCGCAGACATGCCGCTGTGCCACTGGGGGGCTGGTCACAAATTTCACCAATTTTGTGCCGAACCCTTGTTTCTCTGTTTGTTGTTTGGTCAAAAGATCAATTTTGTTTTATCTGGTTTGTATCTAATTTCGCGCGAAGCTACTTGAGGGCTATCTATGCTAGAGGTCCCTAAATTGGAAGTGACAGACTAGAAGGAATGCAGCTAGTCAACACTACCCACCGTCAACTCTCAGGCTACTGTTTTATCATTGAATAGTGGGATTAATCATAACATTATAACTCCCTTTTTTCTGATACGATTTATTTTCTTGTCATTACCAGAACTCTTCAGTTGGGTTGGACAACTATCAACAGCTGGAACAGCTATTAATTTTCATAATTAGTTGACGATACATGTTTAATCACATGTATTAATGAAATTTGTCTAAATTCACGAGCAAGTGTTATGTATGTAGTTGTGACATCCTCATTACATATTTATATATTTTGCATTTATGTTAAAGCTACCAAGGCTATCTGCCGCTGATCCTAATTGTGAATTACTGACAAGGGGGAAAGCAGCTAGTCAGCAACAGCCTACCGCCTGCCCTCCACACTAAAAGACTGGATGTCACTGTTATAACACAACCACAGCTTAAATGACGGATAAAATTTTGTGACATCACATTGATTCGAACCTGGCTCGCCAGCACTGAAATACAGAGCTCTACGACAGGGCCAACCCGTTGGTAAATTAATGCTAAAAAACAATAAACATGCACTCATCCTATTACTCACGTAAAGGTTCCGTACACCAACGTCTAGAAATTCATATAACTTTGGCATTGTATCTTTTGCGGTATATATTTAGCTCAAAATGAAGTAATTCTCTAACTTTGACTGAGTTCGTAAGAATATGATAAAGAGACAAACTGTAAACACAAGGAACAATCTTTATTAAATCAAAGACACAAATACAATGTGTATTGCTTGCTCAGATGCTGGACTGTCACTTTTACTTGGGCTTAATTGTAAGTTGACTATCTTCTTAGAGATCACGTACCAGACTTTTTAAATTTAATGCTCTGTTACGTCTCTGTTCGTTAGTTAATTTTCCGTAAATTCGTTCCGACGAAACTTTAGCGACACAAGTCCTTTCTTAAATAAAACTGGTTTATTCTTTCCGAATATAACTATACGATACACTTGATTTCAACATTCGCGCTAAAACAAACGCTATAACGACGAACGTGCTCAACTTCAATAATACTCGCCTACTGCAGATCAATTACTCACTGTCTACACACACAATATTGTCCCGTCACGTTGTCACCCTCTTTTATATACCAGACTACCCTATATCTAGTAAATGCTAGAGCATTCGCCAAGGTACAGGATAGTT